CCCCGTGTGACAGATGAACACACCTGTCCCCCTCCACCAGGCAGGTCCTGGAAACCAGGGAAGGACCAGGCGGCCTTCAATTGTGCAGCAACGATAGCGGGCGCTCCCCCAAACGCTTACCGAATCTCCGACCTCATCACCCACGTGGGGTCTCTTTCCAGACAGGGAACACTACGTCCTGATGACGGTGGGGTGTGAGGATGCTATGCTACGGTCAGGCAGCCAGAGAGGTGAGTGCTGGACCACCAAGCTGCCACCTGCTCCTTCTTCCCCCTGCCTTATCCTGGCCCAGCTACCCTGGAACAGCTGCTGCTTGCCTTGGGGACCCACAGGCTGGAATGACTACAGAGCAACTTCCACTCCCCAGCCCCCAAAGATGAAGAGGAAGAGAAGGAAAAGGAGGAGGAGAGAGACAAGGAGATGTGGCAGCAGCCAGGGTGGTCAAGGTTTAAAAACCAGCTCAGAATGGGCAGTGGTAAAGGACACGCCTTGGGGCCCGGGGGTGGAGAAACGACCTGGTCCCTCTGAGAACGGTGGGCCGGCCGGAGGAGGCTGATGGCAGCGGGCCAGGCAGGCGCACCACTGACCCGGCGGGGTCCAGGCAGAGGAGTGGGCGCCCAGAGGCTCCCCGGGCCGCACCCAATCCCCAGCCCAGGGACTTGAGCCAGGGGCAGCAGCTTTAATGAGGGGATGCTGCTGCGTGGCTCAGCCCTCCAAAGGTGCCTCCGTTTATTTTATTTTTCCATCATAAAAACCCAAGCTGCGACTCAGCCAGATTCCCTGGCCGTGGGGGATGGGGGAACGCCAGGGCAATGGGGAGGCCGCACGGAGGTCTGACTAACTGACCCCGGTGCCCTTCTTGGGGAGAAGAGTTAATGGGTTCTCCTGGCCGGTCCCTACAGGAAAAAAGGGCCTGGGGTGAGTCCCCTCCAGGGATCCTTCCAGATTGGCCCTTGCTGCCTCTGCCTCCCGTTACAGGAGAACGGCTACGCCAGGACTTTCATCCTGAGATCTGTTCTGATGTCTGATAGCTCGGACCAGGGCTGGGTCAAGGGCCACTTCACGGTCCAGAGGCACCCGTCTCAAACGCCTGCCTCCAAAGACAAGGCCCAAATGATGTGCTTCTCACCTCGTCCATTCAACCCTGCCCCCCAAGACCGAACCTCCCCGGTAAAATCAAGTTGGGAGTTGGAAAGCCAGAGACTTAAAGGTCATCTGATGCTCAAGTCCCTGCAAACGTCACAGCCAGCCTCTGTTTGAATGGTACCAGGAAACTCGCTACTTCCCAGACAGCCCATTCTGTCCTTGGCTCTGACGGCTCCTTCCTGCCAAGATGGCACCGGAGTACCCACCCCCTGCAGCAGACTGGCAAAACCGGTGCCCAACCTGACTGCAGGGACTGGCCCCAGCTTAGACTGGTCGAGTGGGTGTATCTGGCCAAGTAAAGGCTTGAGGAAGGAAAATCGAGGGCAACCTGCTTGGGCTTCCTCCACAGCTGAGGCCAGGGCCAGGATGCAACGGTGGTGGGTGGGTCGCACGTGTGTGTGGGGGGGGGGGGGGGCGGTTGGTACACAATACCAGGGTGCCCCGGCCTGGAGTTCCGGTAGACCTTATCCCAGGGAAAAAGAAGCAGGTCTGGCTCAGCGAGCAACCCCGATTCCTCCCACTGACCCCCGTCGACAACATGGCTGCAGCCACGGTGCCAAGTGGACAGTGCCAGCCCTCTCTGGCCCTCTGTGCAGTCCGTGGCCATCCCCTTGAACTCACTCTCTTGCCTATCTGGCCCTCCACCTGGGAGAGCCCAGCCTGGATCTTGACGGACAGCTCTAGCCCTGGACGGCCCCTCCTCTTCTTCTCATGCCCCCCTGAGGAAAGTGGGGCAGTGACAACCAGATCCGGGGGGACCAAGGGCAAGGTCCTTCTCAAAGCTCAGCTGCTGCTTCACAGCCATTTCGCCTCTGCCTCCGGTCTTGTTGGGGCCTAGCAATAGGCCTAGTGGGGCCTAATCCTGGGGAGTTTCCCAACTGCAGGATGGATTTACCTGTGTCTGAAAGCTCCCTCACCCGCCCCTCCCCTGCCCGGCTCCCTCCCCCAGGGAAATCACTCTAAAAGGGCCTAATGGAACTATGTCCTCCTCTCTTCCTCTCTCTCCTCCCTCCCTCCTCTCTTTCCCTTTCCTTTTTTTTTTTATTAGCATTTGTGGAATTTATTCCCAAACTCTCCTAATCTTCCGTACACAACCATTTGATTTGCATAACCCAACCCCCTCTCATAAAAACTGGCTGCTAGTTTAATTAAAAAATGTAAATTTGCTGTCATCTCGGGGCCTGGTGAATTAGGACGACATCGGCATTTTTTATTGCTAAAGACGTCCAGATTGATCCAGCCCTTGGCTGAACTATGGTGGGGGAATAGGGGTCCACATGGTCCCCGAGGATCTTGAGGTCCTGTTGTCCCCTCCTGAGAAGCCTTGGCTCTCCCATCACTGAATGACTTATGGCCAGAGTGCTTCAGGACCTGGACCTGTCCCAGGCTGGAGATGATGCTAACCCATGACCCAATGCTTATAGGATCCCTGGTGCCAGCGACTCTTTGGGGCCTGTGCCTTGTACTGTGCCAGAGAAGCCCTTGGTGGAAGCTGTCCGTGGTCCGCCCTCCACTCTCCCCAAGAAGGAGCCCCTCACAGCACCAGCAATGAGCCCTGGCCAGCGACGAGGCCTCTGGCTATGGCTGTGTCCAGGAGAACATTCCAGATGTCGATGGAAGACCAGCATGGAGCCAGCCCAAAGATGGTCTCAGAGGGGATCTCAGAGTTCCCAACTGCTTCCCTTTTTTTGTGAACAGGGAAAAAAGCGCTTTTCTTCTGAAGTTCTGAAATTAAGTGAAACTTCCAAGTTCAAAGAAAAGGCGGAAGGGTATCACCAGATTGCTCCTCCAGGAAACAGTCAGAACTCTGACACCCTGACCTTCCCTCACTGAGTGGCCAGAGGGCAGGCCCGGGTCCTGCTCGAAGAGCCTCGCTCCAGCTGCAGGAGGGACCAGTCCACCTAAGTGGCTCTTCTAGCTTCTAGGACAAGTTTCCAGAGGCTGTCCCTGGAATGCGGGGAGAAGTGAGTCTCCCTAAAGCCCAGGAGAGGTGCTACAAGAGGTTCTGCCACCCACAGGCCCAGGAGGCTCTCTCTCCAGTCGGGGACACCCTCCAGAGGCACTTTGGAGCCCTGTGCCCCTAGCAGACTGGAAGGGACTGGTCGGTGTAGGGCAGGAGGATGGATGCCAGCTCCAGCTGGCACCCAGGTCAGGAGGAGGAAGAGGAGGAAGGCCCGCCTTCCAGCTGAGTAATGCTTGGGTCCACTGTGCCCGCCCACAAGCAGAGGCTCCTATGCCCCAGGTAGGGGGTGGTGCCAACCAAGGCCCATCTGTAAGGTCTGCTTCTGGGCTGGGTTGGGTGGGGGCCCTCTTTCTGAAGAAAGGGGGTGGGGCCTGGGAGAAGGAGGCACTGATTAAGGTGGGGGTGGAGGCCAGGGAGGGGCAGGGTGACAGAAGTGGCCTTAGACACCTTCACCACTTTGCCCAGCAGGGGGTGTCACCCCCTTCCTGGGCACCGGAGGTCCCAAGGACCTCCACATCTGATTACCAGAGATCACACCTGGCTGGATGCAATCACAAGCTCTGAGCCACCCTCTCCCCACAAACACACACTCACTTCCCGAAGTCGGTCACCATGTCACCGGCCCTGCCCACCCCCCTGCTGCCTCCTGCCCTCTCTGCCCACTCCCCTTTGACCTCAGGAGGTCAAATGTCAGCTCATGGGTCCCAAGGGGCAATGCCATGAACTTGGGCCCCTTACAAATAACAAGCCCAACAGCCCCCTATTCTTCTATAAATCAAACACAAGGGTTCAGAGATCAGCCTCAATGAATTTTCAACCTGTTTACTACTGAGTTCTTCCAAAAACATTTAGAAAGAAGACAGTGGCTTTTGTCAGGCTGGGATCTGAGGGTCCTGGTCAAAATGTGGTTTCAACAGACCTGGCGAACTGAAAGCCTGAGGCGCTTATGGTAAACCTCACCCTGGGCTCGTGTTGGAACCCCAGATGAAAAGAGAAGCAAAATATTGAAAAACTTAGATTAAAACCAATAAAAGCTCCAAAATATCAGGATAAACTGCCCCAGGCCAGCATCATGCTATCTGGAACCCGAGCCTAAGGCGCCATACTAGGCCCTCTAAAACCCAGAATCCAAATTTAGTAGTTTGTCTGGTGTCCCCCTGGGGGAGGGGAGCGAAAAGGGGGGATGAGAGAGCGTCCTGGGCCCCTCACTTTGAACTGATAACAGCCGCCGCATCCCACGGATTCTCAGGTGAAAAATACTCATTAGCCATAATAAGCAGCTTGATCATCCGACACAGCCTTGTCCCAAATAAATTAAATTCCTTTACCTTGAGACAGTCGCCCCGAAACCAGACTAACCACCTTTCCCAACAGGACGCTGCTTTCAAAAACTAAACCACCCCCCCCC